TTAATTCATTCTATGCTACGTATTCAACATGTTTAATTTTCTCTCTTAGATAATTTTAAAGTTTTCTCTCCTATATAATGTATGGGTACGATTCAGAACGTGCTCTAAAAAGGGAAGTACCTAAATAGAGTATTTTTAAAAAGAATAATTTACTGACTTTTTTTTAACCTTAGAACAAAGATAAAACAAGAAGCAATGCAGGTACTATTTAATATATTAAAAGCTATTACTGGATATTGACATACATGTACCAGTTTTCCCAGGGCTAAGAAAACAAAAAAAGTGACACTGATGCCATCAATATGTCATCCTGACATGTAAAATGGCTTAAATTTTCAGCAAGTTCTTCAAAAAGAAAATGGAAGTAGGAAAGAACAGAAAAGAAAAAATACAGCTCTAAGAAATAACTTCTTTCATTTCAGGATTTTCAGATTATTTCCTTAATAAACCTTCCCAAGATTTTGGCATTTCGATATTCCACTTGGTTGAAAAAATGAAGACACTACTCATAATATTAGGTGATTCAAGAGACAATGAATCAATTACAAATCAAAGCTGAACTGATATTCCTGACACCTGTCCTATTATGAAAAGATCCTCTTATGAACTGGGTAAACAAATTATGAAATGCCCAACTGAATATTACCCATACACTAAAATATTATCCAAACACTAAAAATCATTCCCTAGAAGAAGAATATCCTTTAAAACTATGACTGTTTTTGAAGCTAACACGATGACAGCACACCGTAAGTGAAATACAGCATCATTTCTGTGATTTCTTGCCAAAAATGCATAAACTGAATCTAATCATGAGGAAACATCAAACAAATCAAAATCGAAGGGTATCCTACAAAAATCAGCCTGTAATCTTCAAGATCATGATGGTCAAGGAAAGACTGGAGAACTTTTCAGTGTTGGTAGAGATTAAGAAAGATGACTTAATGCAACACATAATTCTAAACCAGATCCTTTGGCTCTAAAAGACATGGTTGGTTGGGACAACTAAGGAAAGTCGAAGGGGGTGCGAATCACAGCCCTCTGGTTATGTAGAAGAATGTCCTGCTTGAAATACACACTGAAATCTGAGAAAGTAATGGGCATCACATCCACTTCTTGCTCTCAATTATTTAGCAAAAGGAAAGGCCTCTGTTGTGTACTTGCAACTTTTCTGTAAGTTTGAAGTTATTTCAAAATGATTTCTAAACGCAGGGCACCTGGGTGGTTCAGTTGGTTAAGCCTCCGACTCTTGATCTCAGTTCAAGTCTTGATCTCAGGGTGGTGAGTTCAAGCCCCACAATAATAATAATTTTTAAATGCAAATATAAAACACTATGTGGCCTATAGTAACATTTTTATCATTTGTTAGTCTGTTAGTAGATGGATGAGTGGGCGGCAGGAAGGAAGAGGGAAGGAGAAGGAGAAGAAATCATAGATAAAACAGATTAGAAGAACACACAGAAATAGAAAATAATCAGTAGTCTAAAAATGTGTACAGGCAGAAGTGTGTATGTCTATTCATTAATGTAATACAGTACTTTCATGATGAGATGGGTGGTAAGGAAACAGTTGTTTTTTTTTTTAAAGATTTTATTTATTTGACAGAGAGAGATCACAAGTAGAGAGAGAGAGAGAGAGAGAGGAGGAAGCAGGCTCCCCGCCCAGCAGAGAGCCCGATGCGGGACTCGATCCCAGGACCCTGAGATCATGACCCGAGCTGAAGGCAGAGGCTTAACCCACTGAGCCACCCAGCCCAGGAAACAGTTTTTTTAGTGCCCACTATACGCCAGGTACTATAAAAATGTTCAACAAGTTTTACCTCATTACACCCTCATAAAAATCAGGAAGACAGTATTATCTCCATTTTTAGGTAAAGGGTCTGAGGCCTAGTAAAGTTAAACCAACTTGCCTAATTTCACACAACTAATAACTAGCAGAGCTGGATACAAAATAAAATCTGCCTTGTTCAAAGCTAATGCTCTTTCTACTATACGATAATGCTTACCATATATTTAAGTTATTCATACATTTATAAACTCAACGTGATTATGTAAGCTGTTATAGCTTTACATCTATTGCCTTCATTACTATCTGTTAATAACCTCTCATGTACTTTAGGTGTCTGAGGACGTTTGCCCATCCTTTCTGCTAAAATATCTGAAATTTCTACTACTGGAACACATATAAAAATGAAAACACATTACCTGGGAAAGGTAATATAGTAACCCATCATCATGTTTTGAATGAATTATTCTATAAGACCAGCTTGTTAAGTCATCTCTACAAAAGGTACACACTGATCATTTTTGTACTGGTCCAACAATAACTCAATTATTTACCTGTCCAACTATATTCTTCCGTATACTCTTCCAGACTTTAATACATCAATTGTCCTCCCCCTCTTAGCAACTATCACTTTCTCTTCCCTAAGTACTTAGTGTTCTTTAGCCAACAACATTTAAAGCCTTTCCCTAAAATAAGTTTCCCTTAACTTGCCCTTTTCTCAAGCCATTAGAGGCAAAACCAGATTCTAACATCAGAGGCAGCTGTTCCTGGCAGTAGGCAAGCAATCAAAGACACACCACCTGGGGCACCTGGGTGGCTCAGTGGGTTAAACCTCTGCCTTCGGCTCAGGTCATGATCTCAGGGTCCTGGGATTGAGCCCCGCATCGGGCTCTCTGCTCAGTGGGGAGCCTGCTTCCCCCTCTCTCTCTGCCTGCCTCTCTGCCTACTTGTGATCTCTCTCTCTCTGTGTCAAATAAATAAATAAAATTAAAAAAAAAAAGACACACCACCCTCCATCTACCTTCCACTTGATAAGTCTGACCTACACATACTTTTTTTAAAGATTTTATTTATTTATTTGACAGACAGAGATCACAAGTAGGCAGAGAAGCAGGCAGAGGAGAAGCAGGTTCCCTGCTGAGCACAGAGCCCAATGCGGGACTCAATCCCAGGACCCTGGGATCATGACCTGAGCTGAAGGCAGAGGCTTAACCCACTGAGCCACCCAGGCGCCCTGACCTACACACATTTTTATCAGGGTCTCAAACAACCATAGTGTCAGTATTTGAACTTTAAAATATTGCAATAGTCCACTTTTGGAAAATGTGCTCAGGGAGATCACTGAGATTATAGAGGTTTAATAAAACCTCTATAATCTGGGGCACCTGGTGGCTCAGTGAGTTGAGCATCTGCCTTCGGCTCAGGTCATGGTCCCAGGGTCCTGGGATCGGGGTCCACATAGGGCTCCCTGCTGGGTGGGGAATCTGCTTCTCTGTCTCCCTCTGCCCTTCCCCTTTCCATCCTCCACCCCCATTTGTGCTTGCTCAAGCTCTCTCCCCTCTCTCTCAAACAAATAATTTTTATAAGTTTATAATCTGATCCCATGCCAAGGATCTACCTGTTTCCTCGCTATTCTCCAATATAGTTATAATAGAAAATATATTTTAGTCCTCATCACGTATAAGCCAGTAGTGTGAGCAATGGATCTCCATTCCATCTCCTGAATGTCCTCTTCCCATTCTGTGCTTATTTCCACTGCTGCAGTCCTGCTTAACTTCTGCTCTCCATCTGCATGCGGTCCCTCTTCCGTAACTTACTGTCTATCATTCTAGACCTAGCTGAGGCCTTCAGATCAGGCTCCCAGAAGCCTTCCCAATACTAGTAAGTCCACTCTGAGCTGCATCTTTTATGCATCTTTTTATCTTACATTCAAAGCCAGTATTTCCTCATGCAATCCTTGATTACATTCTGCCTAAAGTTGTTCTAAGTTGTCAATCTTGTTCTATAATAATTGTGCATATTTTCTAGAGGTCCAGATTCAAGTCATATTTTTCTTTTATCTCCCAAGTATATACAGCACAGTGATAAGGAAAAATAAAGTAATGATATAAACAGAATTATAGCTTAAGAAAACAATCTATTTTAACTGTCTGCATACCTACAAAGAATATGATGAACACAAATAATCTGTATTTTAAACTAAGTCCAAAAACTTTCATTAAGTTCTTTCAAGACTGTTAATTTTGCTCTGAAGCCATAGTGCCAAAATGATTAAAATACATTTATTTAGACTTCTATTTCAGACTTCAAATCCAGTACATTGAGGTTTTGCCAAAATACTAGAGATGCATATTGCTTACCAACACCAATGGCCACAACTTAAAAATAATCTTTGAATCTTGTTTCCTACTCTTAAGAACCTAGATTTAGATACGTGAAAGCATAATAAATTATCTGCATGTATATAGAAGACTTGTCTAAAGAATTAAACTACATCCTAAATTATCATTTCATTAATGCTTACAACATTCCATTAAGCAGGCAAGTGTTACCAAATTCATTATTTTTACTGTTAATGTGTCTGAAGTGACCATAATTAGTCCAATGACATAAATTAACCAGTAGGTAACTGTATGCTATTCTTCAGAAATTAGTTTTCCTTGAATCTTTTATACAAACATATCCTGCAATCTGAGACCATGAAAAAAAATTTTAGACTTTTGGAAATCACTGATTCCATACCTGGTGGAAAGAACTGACTATTCAAATTCACTCTATTTAAAATCAATTCAGAAAACATCACCAAATGAGAAAAGTTTTCTACTGGTTCTGTTATTACTCAATCTTCTAAAATGTATAGCTAGAAATAGAAATAAAGACTAAAATATTTGCAAGAACATTACCAGTATGACTTAATAAAAGAGCTAATGAGATTTCCATGGGAAAATCAGATCACAAAGGGAAAAAATAAGATGGATACATTCACAAGAAATGTCATTTAATTTCCCCATAAATTAAGACAAAATTACCCACCAAAATTTACAGTAAGTCTCTATATCATTAGAGATTTAATAATTTCTTTGTACTTGAAAAAAAGAAAGATGAAAACAAATACATTTTCTTCCTAGATGGTTTATTAGGATTTGTACCATAAAGCATCTCTAGACATTTGCTTTTAAGCGTATTTCACAAGGACCTAGAAGAGGGAGTTTTACCTGTTTTACTAATGACTTCCTGTAACTCAGCCATAGAGGTGACTATTGCCGCTAGAAGGTCTGAACTGGTAAGCCAGCTGAGTGCTTGCAAACAACGTAACTGCTCCTTCTGATGCTCTGCAAAAAAAGAAAGAAATCCATCTTGCAATGCTACAAACATTTAAAAATCCATGTTTAAACTTCATACCCACATTTGGTTATTTAAGAAATAGATCAAAACTTATAGACAGAACTTTGCCTAGTGTGGAAAAGTCTACAAATAATGCTAGATTTGACTGAGAATTTATTTACCTATTATATAAATTAAGTGAAGTCAAGAGAGAGAGAAGATGGGGCACCTGGGTGGCTCAGTCCGTTAAGCATCTGACCCTTGATTTCAGTTCAGGTCATGATCTCAGTCAGGGTTGTGAAATTGAGCTCCACGTAGGGCTCCACGCTGGGCATGGGGCCTGTTTAAGACACTCTTTCCTTCTCTTCTACCGTCCCTCTTTAGTCCACCCCACCCCTGCTCATACACTCTCACTCCCTCTCTCTTTCTCAAAAATAGAGAGAGGAAAAGTTTTCTTGAGTTCTGCTTAAATTACTTAATGGCTTGATTTTTAAAAGTTAAAAACTGAAATCATTGTTTCCTCAGAATAATCAAGCACTTGAAAGAAAGTTAACTGGAAAATTTATTTCATCTCATTTTCGTTCAATTCCTCAATAGATGTTTAACTCTGAGCATTTTATTCTGATTCATAGAAAGTGAAATTAAATTTTACTGGTAATTAATTTTACATAGGGCAGAGTCTCTGGATTGACTTAATTGAAAAATCACTATATAGACTCTTTACTGTGAAAAGAGCATTCAAATATAATAAAGCTAAAAATGTATATATAATGAAGTTGAAATTATATTTGCCACTTCCTTTATGCATAAATATATATTTACCCATACACATATACATATCTACATACACATGGGACTATGTTACATAATTTGATATATTGAATGATTTTTTTTAAGTTTTTACATAATGGTTAAACATAGTCACATTGTACGTGACTTATATTCAACTTAGTTTTTTTTTTTTAATATCTTATTTATTTGGCAGAGATCACAAGTAGGCAGAGAGGCAGGCAGAGAGAGAGGAGGAAGCAGGCTCCCCACAGAGCAGGGAGCCCGATGCGGGGCTCAATCCCAGGACCCTGGGATCATGACCTGAGCCGAAGGCAGAGGCCTTAACCCACTGAGCCACCCAGGCGCCCCTCAACTTAGATTTTTAAAAAGCATAAATGATCTTACTCGGAAATTTCTGCTTGTCTTTGGGCTCTCCTGTACACACTAACATGCCTATGCCTTCTTTGAAACTTTCCATCCAGGTAAAAAGAGAGGCACACGACTGGCCCAAAATCTTGAGCCTATTTGCTGCCAGAACTGCAATAACACCTTTCCGGAATACACGTATCAATCCTTTGAATGGTTTTTTCTTCATCTTGGCTTCCTCTTGCTTCTTTTCGTCAACACTTGACAAAGCCTGGGCTAGAGTTCTAACTTCCAGTTTGAACAACTCAAAGGTGTTGACCTGCTCCTGGAGAAAATCTCTCTGTGTAGATAAGGCACATGACCGGCTGTAGAGAGGATATAAGGCACCAGCCATCAACGCACAGGCTGCCAGCAACGATGTTTTTTCCCTCTGAGTCTGCGATAATATGTTTTTGAAGCGTGAATTTTCAAGAACCAACTGCTCATGGGACCTCTCAATACGATTCAATTTTTCCATATTTTTTTCGGCAATTTCTTGAAATTTCTGTAAGAAGTCAAACAAAATATTGGAAACAAGTAGGCATTTGATTACTTCTCCAGAAAAACACTTTTGTTGACAACATCTTCAAGAGATCCATGTTCAAAATAGCCAAAAATACGTATGACAGAGCGACAGTGGGCCAAACAGCTTAGATCTAAGTGTGCACACTGATTTTTAAGTCCTTGTACATAGAAGACTCACATAAAATCGAACATGTAAATTTGAAAGTACTTCATAAATTTCCTCTACACTTATGCATAAATGCACATATTTAGAAAAGGAAATTTCTCCTCTTCCATTCCTCACTTTTATTTCCTGCTTTTAAACAGAAATTACACCACCAACAGAAGTTTTCCTATATGTGAAGACTTCACATTTTGTCAAAATAAGCAAAGGGTTAAATCAATAATACAACAAATAGACTGCATGACTCAGTGGGTTAAGCCTCTGTCTTAAGCTCCTGTCATGATCTCAGGGTCCTGGGATTGAGCCCTGCGCCTTGGGCTTCCCACTGAGTGGGATGTGTGCTTCTTTCCTTCTCTCTTTGCCCTTCTCCCCCACCCAATGCCACATGCTCGCACTCTCCCTCTCAAATTAATAAAATCCCTTAAAAAAAACAACAACAACAACAACAAATGGCACTTGACTGCCATTTATTGGAATGAGGACGGACTGGATCACAGGACAAACTCTCTCATTTCAGCTCTTTCTTACCTTCCCAAGACAGAACAAAAAACAAAGTACAGCTCCAGTGGTAGGAAGAAATACTAACTAAGCTGGGCCCCAGCAGTTCTCTGATCCTTTTTCCCTCATCAAGGAACTTGCAATCCAAAACAATTTGAAACACAAAGAAATTTTAATTGCAGACAGCAAATTTTAATCGTTAGAAAATAAACTAGTTCTCTGTGAAATCTTATGCCTAATCATTAAGGAACTGCTGAGGTAGAGTAAATTTCAGAAGATAACAGATCCCAATTTCCTTTACTGATTCATTTATCATTCAATAAACATTTATTGATTACTCACTAAATTCCATGTGCTAGAAAAACAGACAAGCAAATCAATTAGTGTGGCATAATGCTATGATAAAACTATGCCAGATTGCCAGAAGTATACAAAGGGAGTTGGCATAAAATGATATTGACAGGTTTTTGGAGGGATATGACAAAGGTAGTGAGGTATTAAAAAAAAAAAAAAAGCTACTGATAAGGGAACTAATCATAGCTATCCTATAAGAATTTAACAACCAGAATTGAAGAAAATAATACAAACTCTTGCTTACTCCTCAAGATTTGATATCAAAGCCTACCACGGAAAATGTTGATTGGTGGTAGCCAAAAGAAATCAAACTTGTAGAAATATACTGCTGAGAAAAGTAACTCTTGGGCCAAATTCAACCCCAAAGCAAGGGGATGAGATTCCAAAAGGCGCACAATGAGTAGAAGGCCCTTGGACATACAGTCCTGAGTACAAAGGAGTAAGGGAAGTCCACAAGGAACCACTCTCTGAAGGATTCAACTTCTTGGATGCTTTCCCTTGAGCAGGGGAAAAACTGTATTTTAGTTTTAAGTGTTTTTATATTATAATCCCCTTTACTTAATCCAACTCTTCTCTGAAGTCTGACCCAACCATATCTATGGTGCTAGTGTGAAAAATAAAAGAACCAGGAAATATAGGAACTGTGGCTTGCCCAACCACATCTTCACTGATGGCCAAGCTGAGGTAGCAAGATTTCATCACTGGGACTGTGTTCCAGAGCTCTACACAATGACACATGTAGAGGAAGTGGTGTCCCACTGGGAGCAGCTGAAAGAAGTGAGAAACTCTGAGAACTAGCCGAGTGGACCGCTTGGAAGCAGATGTGAGACACCCTTGTAAGGGTGGCAACCTTTAAGAAAAGGGAAAACTGACATGAACTATGGCTAAAGAAGGCAGGAAGACCAGTGAGCGGAAGAGGAAAAGCCAGAAAACAGGATAATGTATTCTAAGGAAGTGCAAACAATTCAGAATGCCTGAAGAGAAGAGGAGAATGATGGAAAATTGACAAGTAGGCAGATAATAGATAATAAAGCTACGGAAGCCATAGATCCTGGAAGTCACTCTGCTTTAGTTAATGGGTGGGAGAATCAGAAATCTTAATAAAGACTACCAAGGGCAGCCAGCGAGATGTAGGGAGTGGGGATGGAAGGAGAGGAGGAAATAGAAACTACGGCAGTTAGTTCTGTATTTTCTCCACAATCAATTCCATTAGTTCAATTAGAGGAGAAAACAGGAAAATTCTAGGAAACCCAAGATAAAAGAGGCAGACTCTCCAAAGCTAGATAGTAGACATAAAAATTAACCTAACTGGATTCCAGGAGGCTACCAACTTACACATTCACAGTTCTCGGGAAGAAATGTGTTTTCAACAAAAAATACTTTTTTTGAACAAAAAAAAATGAAGAGATATATTTGCTAATGACATTTTAAATATTACAAAATAATATGTGAAGTCATTGGTCAAAATCAAATGGGTTGTTGAAAGAGAGCTGAAAGTATATTAACCCTACTGGAATTGAAATTTTTTAAATAAATAAAATAAAAAATTTAAAAAAAATGAAAGAGAGCTGAAAGTAAACAAGCCCCTTCTGGAAAAGATTAAGCTAATTTTAGCACATGAGAGACCTCCAACTCTTCTACCATATACAGCTGGCCCACTTCAGGGCCTCAGGTTGAAGCTGAGAGCGTTTTAGCACGGCAGCCAGGAACTTGCAGTCCTAGGATGAGGATGACAGAGTAATCAAAACGTGGCGAGACATGGATAAAGATCTGAAATAAACTTCCCAAAACACCCCATTTCTCTCGAAGAAGAGAAAACCAGGAATAAGCTGGAATGTTTTAAAAACAGAATTGGGATTCCAGACTAACATGGCCAGTTGTCATTTTCGGCTGCCTGGTAGAAGCAGGTGGCAGTGCAAAAGAAGCAATATTTGAAGGTCCTCATGTCATTCTGTGTCCCCCGAGTTTTGATCATTTGTAATGATTATACATTTAAAAGTGCTGATTACTAGTAATTACTACCACTATGGATGATTTCATGAGATGCCTATGATTTGTATTGTAAGAAAGAGATGCCATTCACAGATTGCTAAAACAGTAAAAATAGGACTAAGAATACATATGAAGTCTGTTTATAAATAAAAATAAACAATCTCTAAATTCTACCCCTGAAACTAATAAAAAAATAAAATGAAATAAACATAAGGGTGTATGTATCCTTTCAAAAAATAAATTTTAAAACTAAAAATAAATAATCTCTAAATACTATTTAATTGTCTAATAATGCTGTTGTCCTCCATCATTCTTGGTTTAAGTAATTATAACCAAGATACCAGTTATCAACTGTTATTGTTATTTTTTTCAAAATCAACCACCAAGGAGCGCCTGGGTGGCTCAGTCAGTTAAGTGTCTGACTCTTGGTTTCAGCTCAGGTCATGATCTCAGGGTCTTCAAATCAAGCCCCATGGGCTCTGTGCTCAGCAGGGAGTCTGGCTGAGTTTCTTTCTCTCTCTACCTCTGCCCCTGCCCGCTGCACTCTCACTGAAATAAATAAGTAAATCTCTCTGAAATACTCTCACTGAAATAAATAAGTAAATCTTAAAAAAAAAAAAAATTAACCAGACCAATATTCAACTAGAATATCTAGATAACTAGAATTAATTAGCAGGGTGAATTAAAGATTAAAAAACAATGAAGTTAATTATTTTAAATTTTTAAAGCTCTTATTGATGCATATTAAGTTAACAACACAAAAACCTCAATAACATTAATACTTAATGAGAGTTTTGTTCATTTCTTAACAATTATGTTTCTGCATCTCGACTGTCTCCACTGAGATCTAGAATCACAGATCTCACTGCCCGTAGGCATCTCCACCTAACAACCCCATAGCCCTCTCAGGCTAAACTATCCTGTCTAGTACTGCTGATTTGCATCCTAAACATATCCATAATAGTCCTCTTCATGTTAGTCCTACTAATATCCACCCAGCCGTTCCAAATAAAAAACTTTTTAGTCAGTCTTAATCCCTCCTTTCCCCCCATCCTCTACACTTCCAAATCAAAGTCATCCGCAAGTCCAGTTGGGTCTACCCGCAACATCCTGATCCAGATCCTTCTCCACGGTGACCCATGCTAGTCCCAGCTCTTCACCCACAGCCATCCATGCCCACTTCAATGCTACTGTCACATCAGGTCAGTCCAATCCTATTGTTTAACCTCTTTATCTTTATTGAACCAAGGTTCTCTCCTCAAGTCACAATACCCCTACATGCGGTCTGCTGCAAAGGTTTCCACCTTCTCCCAGGATCCTCAACCTGATGAAAAAGAAGAGAACAGTCTGCTCCTTTACTAATCAGACATGAGACTCGCCACTTCTTCTCACAATTGCACCATGTTCTCTAGCACCCTTGGGTCTTCCAACTCCCCTAACACTATTCAAATCCTAACAGTCTTCAGAGCCCATTTCAGGGTCTAGCTATTCCATGACGCCTTTCACTATAATCCTCACTCACACTGACCTGACCTTCTCTGAACTCAATTGTATCACTTGGGTATTTAATTCCTATACTGCTACTTACTTATTTCATGTGTGTATATCTACTCTCCCTCCAATACAATAGAAGGCTAGATCCTAGAAGCCAGGAAGCATTTACTGTAGTGCCTGTCACTGTGCTCTGTACCCTATAGATATTTAGTAAATATTGAAAAAATTTAAAAATCCTTTATAAGATGTTCTTTGGTGCTTAGAACAGATTTTTGCTCATAATAGGCACTGAATATATACCCAATGAATAAAAAGCTTTAAAAATGTAAGCAGAAGAAAAATATAATTGAAAAAAGATATAATTTCCAAATATAATTTGAAACTTATCAACATGTCAGAATTCTGTTTTAAGATTAATTCTGATATTCCACAGGGACCTTAAGAAGTACTGCATTATTTACTGTGAATTATTATTGAAG